ATTATATTTTTGTATCCCTTTAAATCCGCACGCCACTGTATAGTTGATAGCATTTTAACACAACTTTTATTTGAAACTTTTTTTTCTATAGACAATAATAACGATAATAAGGGGTGGGTAATTTATAATGAATAACCCTGTACAACAAGGAGAAGAGAAAAGCTAAAAGGCAATCGTGGAGGAGGTTCTGTGAGGAATTATCTGACACACCCACATGATCTAGAATCCACAAACTCTTAGCTAAAGAGGGTACCGCAAACCAAGTAGGATTTCTCAGGAATCGAGGAATCGTTAACAATGCTCACAAAAGTACACTTTCCGGCCACAGAAATTTTGTAAGACCCGATAGTGGCATACAGCCCTTAAAGAAATCCCCAGGAGTAGATGGAATATATCCCATTATACTACAAAAGGGACAGGAAACTTGAATTCCATATATGTGTCGCATATTTAAAGCATGTATAGTTTGGCGACATATACCAAAGGTGAAAGGCATATACCTTCCTAAACTACCCATTATGCATAAAAACGTTAAATTAATGTTACATTGTTAACTCTCATATTTACTCTTGTTTTCATCTGTAGGACGGACTCATAACCGTCTAAGCCCAGAGAAGTTTACTTTTGTGACGAAACAAAGTAGACGTTGCGGTGATATTACAGCGCTACCTTGTTACGTTATTTAACGTTATTGGAAGTTCCCAAAAATGATGTCTTTTTAACAAACCAGATGTGACATTCCTGTTCTATCCAAGAAAGTCTTTTTACTTCTTGTAGATGTTATTATAAAAGCCCATAAAATAAAATTATATTAATGAACCAAATGTGACTTTCCAAATATGATAACAGTTCATACCTTTTTATCTTTGTCTTATAAATTTTATATGGACCATGTTATATAAATATTTTATATTTCATCTATATAAAACAGAATAAAAATAAATGAACTTGAAGTTAAAAGCTTAGAAGACAAGTTAAACTTCTAATTTCTAATCCCAGAAAATTTTAGAGAAAAAGTATAATACAATGGTCTAAATTAGTATCAAAAGTAAAAATAAGAACTTTGATGAAATACTTAATACTGTGTAACATACTGCTCCATAATATACAGTACTACCGGTTACGTTAAGTAGCAAGCGATCATTGGTATCTCCATCTATGAACGCGGAACGAACTGTTAGGTCTGTCAGGTCTGCGATGTAAAGACTAAAGATAGCCATCTTAAAGATGTGTAACTTGTAAACATTACTGTGCTGACCTGTATGCGATGTTATTGTGATTTATCAAAATTAACATCGTATGAATGTTTGTCACAGGAAGTAACTAAGCAGAAGTACAAAAGATGTTTATGTAACTGCTAATTCAAGTATTGCAGCGTACATAAAACTTCATTTGTAGATATATGCGAGGAATGTTAATGAATATGATGTTAAACTTTAAACATCTATGTGATATTTTAGTATCGTTATAAAAATATATCAAGAAAAGTCTCTATGAGAAACGTTACAAAAAAGACTGGTACTGTTTCATGTTTAGTGGGTGGGAAGGTTTAATGATAAGACACCAAAGACGTACCGCCCAACGCTAGAAAGACTAATATATAGATATATACGAGACGAAATACTAAAAGAAAATCCTTTCAGCGACCGTCAATATGGATATCAGCCAGGAAAATCAACCGATTTGGTCCTGAATAATCTCAACAGGCTATTCTCAAACCGCTGGATGATAAAGTCACCCAAAAGAGCACAACATCCTTTAACTTATGACGAAGGTTGTGTGGAAAAAATTGGCGACTACAACCGAAAATGTCACTATGGTTTTATACCAGGTCATAAGGTCGATAATAACCTACGAGTTGGTGGTATGGTGGACAAAGACTCGGCAAGCTGGAGCCATTCGACAGCTTAATAGTATTCACAGGCAAGCATGCCTGAGTACCACGGGAGCCACGAGAACGACTCCAAAACAGCAGCTATAGAAGTCATGCTAAACCTAAACCACTACATATATTCATTCAAGGCGAAGCCAGGTCTGTCACATACAGACTGCACAGAGGTCCATCACCCATAAGCAATGACTACATGGACGTGACTAAAGCGAGCTATATAAAGAGTTGGAGAACAACCAAATAATGGGAATGCCTTCAGACGTAATGCTTCCAAAGTATAGCTTTCAAAAGCAATATAAATTAAGTATACCAGACAGGGAAAAGCGTGGACGGGAGGACCTCCTATTCATGCAGAATTCACCTGGTATACAGACGGCTTCAAAACCTATGAAGGTTCAGAAGTAGGTATATATAGTACCAAGCCAAAGACAAGAATTTCACTAAGCTCAAGTAAACATGCGATGTATTCCAGGCAGAAATAGCAGCAATACATCACTGCGCAAAAGAGGTATTAAAAGAGAAGGTAAATGAAAAACCATTGTCATATACTCAGAGAGTCAAGCGACGTTAAAAGCACTCAGTTCTATGCAGGTACACTCAAAGCTTGAGTGGGACTGTTTAGAAGTCCTAACAGAGCTGGGTAGTCAAAACAGACTAACCTGAGCCTAAATACCAGGCAACAAGAGGACATAAGGGCAACGAAGAGGCTGATTTACTAGCTCGAGAAGGAGCCTCAAATGCTCTTATTGGCTCAGAACCCTTCTGTGGTGTCACAAAGACAACTCTCAGAATATGCACAAAGCATTGGATGTTTAAAAAATCTCAGGAGTGGTGGAAAAATTCACCAGGACAGAGACAGGCCAAAGAGTTCTTAGAAGGACCATCACCTAAACTCACCGAGCATCTACTAAGCCTTAATAGGAAAATACTAGAGTACTAGTAGGTCTATTAAGATGGCATTATAGGTTTAACAAACATATGTATTATATACGTGTGACAGAAGAGACCTTGTGCCGATTCTGTCAGGAATAGTAGGAAACTGCAGAAAACGTATTGTGCTACTGCGAAGGTCTAGCAAGACTTCCTTAGATTTGGAGAAAAAAATCAAGGGCAACTACTTCCTAGTCTATGGAGTCTACTGCAAAAGACCGAATTAGACAAGGTACTCTAAACAACGATTAAAGGATATCCAAAATAGATCTGAAAAGGTCGAGGTGGGGGAAGCCACATGGTCCACAGCTAATTAAATCTAATCTAATGATATTTTAACTTTTGACGAAAATAAAAGATTAAGGTCAATCGTAAAAATCGATATTAGTGTGGCCTATAAACAATTTATTAAAAAAATATTAACATGAAATAGCATCCAATCCTAACAAAATTTGTGGGCATTTATTTCAAATACAACACGCTCGATCCGTTTATGCAGCAGAATGCGCTGCAATGATAATTATTTTTAGAATTACATTGATATTATTAAGAGCTTTGATGACCTTATTTGAAGATCTTATACTGATTTCACTGAGCCAAATTCTGAGGCTAATCCATTAAATGTATCTCATTTCAACATTAATTCTTTTATCAAAGATGAACTTAAAAATACTTTTAAATCAATGAAATCTAAAATGACTATAAGCCAGATAATATTCCACCCTTTTTTTGTTGTTCATTCCTGTAACGGTTGGAACCGTTATTCCTTATTTTGACACAATCACCTCTACTCAAATGTAATTTGTCGTCGTCTTCTTCTTCTTCTTCCTCCTTTATTCGCTTTGTGAGAATTATTTTTAACTTGGATGTCAACGAATCAAGTTGATTTGAATTTTAATATATCTTGGTCATCCGATGTACTAAATAATTTTAATATATCGTAAATGCCGTCTGATTTTATAAGGTAAGTTTTAAATATGATATATTGTTGAAAATATATATTTTGTACAAGGATTTCTTAAATAGATTGTCAAGTATTGTACATAACCTCAATATCAATAATGGATAACACATGTTCGTTTTATATTAATTTATATATTATTTATTTGGAATAAGATATTTAGCTTTACTATGTTTAAATATGTTAAATAAGATTTTTCTTTTTCATATTAATTTTAGTCTCTGTGAAATTATTCACTTAATAGTTTTAAATTGTTCATTTAATCGTTAAAGCATTTTATCTAAATCCTGTTCCAATTTCCTATTCCCTGTCTTAACATTTTAACCCTTTCTTTTTAGCATGGCTAGATCTAGACGGTTTATTTGGATTTATATCTAGACGTTTTTGAATTCCTATCAAGAAGTTTTATTGTTTTTATACCTAGAAGTTTGTTTTGGTTTTGGTACAAACTGAAGACCGTGGTTTGATTCATCTCTAGAAGATCTAGACAGTTCTGAGTTTAAGTTAGAATACCAAATATCACGAGATCATTCAAGTTGCAGAATTAGGAACAAGGATCCCGAATCACTTAGAAGAAGTTGCCTGAAGATATACCATGCGATAAACATTCCTTATATTACCTCCTTTTAACGAAAGATAAGTGCTTTTAAATAAATCATCTTAAATTTGAATTTAGTAAAACTATGTGAATTAGAATTTGCTACTACCTTATCTAAAGCATGGTTTAAATATAATTTGTTAGTGGTTAGTGATTTTCTATATTTTTATCACTAATCTTAAGTCAAGTATAGTAAGCTTTAAAAATATAGTGGTACCAACTTCTTTTTCAAAGTTATTCGAGTTATTTACTAACCTAACCCACGCCCAATCAATTGAGCTCAAACACATTATACAAGTAGATAGAATAACTAGAGATCACGTTACATCCCTTAAAAATTAGCTTTTAGCTGAACTTATCCCAAACAAACGAAAAATAAAAACATATTAATAATATTAATAATTAAGTTAATTTTACCTTAACAAAAATATGTATAAGTAATAAAGCAAATTTAGGCAAAATGTAAATGGGACGCCTTCAATACCGAATGATCTCTTTTTTGTTAATTTTGAATCACCGATTTTTGATCCAGTTGAAGAATATCCGAGGAAGGTTAGAGTAAAGATGAGGTTAGGTTTAATAATTTAAAATAAAATGCCCAGATACATTTATAACACATATATTACATTATAAATTTGACAGATCTTGATGAGAGGATGATATGTACCCAGCTACCATCCACAAGTCATTATGTTGTCATTTTTTGGCTCACAGTAGGCATGCGACGTAACACGACATGGAAATACAGATGTCGACCTACAGTCGTTGTTGAAACGTTAAGAAGATGTCGTGACGTTTCTGGGACGTCATAATTCAAAGGAGATTGTTTCATAATACAAAAACCGATGCACATCATCGATAATTTATGCAGTCACGACCATGCAGTGTTGTCTAATCGTCACAAGGAGGAATGTAGAAAGTTTCGAAAATATAAGGTTATGTTTGTTTGGCTGTTGTTGGAACAATTAATGTAGAAATAAACGATAATTGTTTAAAAAAAAAAACACGTTTTTACAATTATAACTAGTAAAGCATAAAAATATAGTCAAAATTATAAAATTACAGAAATCAACTCGTTAACATAACCGAAATTTTGGATATTACGCTCGTATCAAATACGAATTTCATGGGCGTACAGAAAATCAAAATATTTTTATAAATTTTATTGTTCCCGACAAAGACATAGATCCGAGTGATGTCCGTAATAATATGAATTTATATAAAATTGCATCGATTATTATTTTTGGAATATCTTATCCAAAAATAACGTTATGTTGACGAGATACCATTACGTCATTTTAACGACATATTATCATCACGTCATTTTCACGAATTACGTTTTCGTCATTTTGATGAAGTAGCATCACGTCGTGTTAACCTCACCTGTGAAATGGTGTCTCAGGTCTGTAACATATGACATAAAATTTCACGTGAATATTACGTCATATGTTTGGTTATAAGACGTAACAGGTATCAACGTCATAATGACATATATATTGCTAGCTGAGTAGATGTTATATTAAAAAATCTCTTTTCTACAATCTAAATAAACCTATTACCCGGTTGCAACAACATTGAGAGATTTAATAAACGTTTTTGCAACAGGGTGTAAATATAAATTGTTATGTAGTTTTCAAGCTTTATAAATTTCTTTTTCTTTGAGCCGGAATGCGGAAGCGCATTCGTTGCCCATCAATTATAAAACCGTATCGGTACGATTTAGTAACAGGAAGGTGAGCCGGCCTTAAGATCTGTACCCGTTCTCTCAGCTCATCGGGTAGTTGACTTTCTGGCGTTCGGTTGCATAGATATTCATACATATCTTGTTTCAGGGCCTCGATATATTCTTTATCTTGTTTCAGTGCCTTGATATATTCGTTATCTTGATCGTTCTGAGGCAGAAGAAATAAATCTTCCGAAGACGGCTGAAAGAAGAGTTTTTATTTGTAACAAACACGCGGTATATTTCGCTGTACGGCCACTGCTATCCGTGGCTACGCCTACTGAAAACAGTACCATACAACCGAAGCATACAACCAAATATTATTTTAATTAATCAATTACTTTTGGCGATAAAATTATTTCTTTAATAAAAACTTTCCGCCAGCCTTTGGTACCATTTGTTATAGTTGAATACTCAAATAATACTCAGTAATGAAATGAGTCAAGAAACTTGCCATTGCGTGTCAAGTTCGGTGAGAGTTTCGGAGGTTACGGGACAAGAGCACTTTTTCAGTGCTAGACATACAGTATGTTAACCTAGGATTCCCGATAAATAAAGATTAGACGATTAATTATATTTGGACGTAAGAAAAATAAAGAGATAAACTTGTTTAAGTACGCTGTTTCGATAATAAAGAGGGGACACTGCTGCCCGCAATCAGCGATCACAGCGCAGCACAAATTTCAGTACTCTACAAACTATTTTGGGATGTACGTCGCTTGTTGTTTAACATGTGGCGAAGGTTACGTAGTAATCGGTAATATCTTACAAATAAAATGATCAGTTTTTGCAAGAAAAAAAATACATGGCATTCAATTAATTCAAAAAAATGCAAATATGTACTTTCAAAAAATAAAACGAATTATAAAATTAAACAATTCTAAAATAAACTTAAATAATTCTTAAATGTAAAAGTAGAATTTATTTTGCTAGTCTGAGACTCGCCTCTCCGCCTGCGTGATTGCTCGTTTAAAAACATGGTACCGCGGTAGTGGAATAACAGCTCTATTTCACTCTGTTCAACGCTATTGTTTTTCTAGACCATTCTACAATATTCAGGATTCTAAACTTAACGTACTGTATATCTGTCACATATAACATACAGTGCTTCTCAAAAGTCCCCTTCCCTTTCCCTTTTTTTTGAACGGTGATACTTAGGCTGATGAAATTTGGAGGGTGAAAATGAACTATTGCAAGCTTCTCTAGTAGTGGTACCAGGTGACATAGTAGTCATCGATGACGTCACAAGACGACTGGAACCAATATTATTAAATGGCAAGTGACACCTCGTTTGAAAGGTTTTCAGTCATACTAATTTTGTTTGGATTTACGATTATTTTGATAGATAAAATAAATAAACACTAAAATTTCAGTTTCGCTTTCGTTTAATAAAGATTCAATAGTTCGCCTATGGTTAATTTTTAAAACAGTTGACGTTTTTGTGTAATTGACGTTTTTTCAGGTGTTTATCTTAAATTTTTAGTTTAAATATTGTTTAACGAGACGTTTAAGTATCTACATAAACAAAATGGTACATGCTCTAGCTAACAAAATAACAGCTATCTTAATTGAATCGGGTATTTGGAAATATAACACTCAATTTTACAGTAGAAAGGAAAAACATTTTTAAATCAAATTACAAACATCTAATAGTTATGTACATATTTTTATATGTTCATTAGTATGTGAGAAAGCTAATTACAGTTATTTTTCATGGATGTTTGAATAATCTATATAAAAAAATATTTTGATATTTACTTCATTTGTGCCCTTCTCCAAACTTATTCAGAATAAAACATTAAAAATATTATTTAATAAGTTAACTTACTTTATAAAGTTTTTTTCAGCCATCTGAGAGCGCTGTTGGACAGTCAAACATCATACTGTAAAATTGTTTGTTTTACTGAGGAATATACTGGATTAAGGATTTTAAATTGTAAACTTTTTTATATTTATGGGGACTTTGGCAGTATAGGCTTTATATGCCTTTTCAGCAGGAAGATTCGTCTTGGACCCGGTAGGCTTTGCTAGTGAAACAGATGCCGGAATGAGCTCATCTATACTCGTATAATGTTTACACCACAAACCACAGTAAAAAATTCACCGCTGATTCAACAAAAAACAATTTCAAACTAAAATTTTGATACGATAAAACATTCCTGCGCTTCAGCGTAACAATTTCAAAAAAGTGACACTTTTGTGTCGGATATGTCTTTTTTGAATCAAACACATTGAAACGGGTATCTAGTTTATGCGGTTCTAGTTCTAGTGTAATATTTTGTTCCCTTTTCTTAACAAATGGTTAGCATTCAATAAAATAGAAAAATCGCATAAAACGAAAATGGTCAAAATTGTTGCTTGTGCTCTTCTCCAAATAATCGATTCAATTATTGGTGAAAATGAAAATTTGCATGCGGCGGAACGCATTTTTAATAAGAGGTAACCGATCGCCCTATATCGACTTATTTGAGGGAGCTTCTTCATAAATTTCAAATAACAGGTAGTGTGCATGATGCCAAACGATCTGATCGACCAAATAGTAGTATTGATAAACAAATTGATATAGTTGCAGAAATTGTAGCAACCCCTACTTTTTCCATAGCCCAAGTTGCGTCTACCTGTAAAGTCATAGTACAGTACACGGAGTGTTAACCAATAATAAATTTCATGCCTAAAAAAAAAATGGTGCATCGGCTTTCAGATAACGACCCCGAACGAAGGCTGGAATTCTGTGAAAATATGTCCACTAAAATTGTCCCAAGAGCCAAACTATGTAAAAACAATTTGTTTTAGTGACGAAAGAATATTCTTCCTTAATGGAAATGTTAATACTCAAAATGTGAGGTATTTAAGAGAAATAAATCCTAACATATTTCGTGAAAAACATACACAGTTACCTTCATTGAGATAGAATAAAGAGGAGATACTATGACGATGTTAAATTGTCCGCACCTTTGCATTACATTTTTACGTCAATGTCAAGCTCGAGATAGTCTGTTTTGGTGAGAATAAATGCAATATTTCTTTAAATAGCTTCATATAAATGATATGAAAATATTTTCATTCTGTCATTCTTCAAATATAAAATTATTGACTTCAAATAAATCAAAGTACGACTCAAGTCACCATTTTCATTACACTTTTCCGTCACTTGAAGTGCGTCCATTTTTTATATCGCAAAATAGTGTTTTTGTCGTCTCTACTTTATTCTATCTCGATGGTTACCATCAAAAGTAAATGTCTGAACAGTATTTTGGGAAACCAGATACATACTCCGGCCTATTTTTTTGAATTTTAACTTAATCGGTAAAGTATATCTGGAGATGCAAATAAACCGTTACTTATTCAAATTCTGGAAGATGAACTATACTCTGTTTTTAAACTAAGAGGAGCGAATTGAAAAGTCCTATTTACACAGGGAAAAATAACTAAAAAAGTAACTAGATATCATTTTAGCGGTAAATTTGAATTTGTCTTGTATCATTTCAAGAAAAACATTTCAAAACTTTGTTATGAATTCATTGAAGTCAAAGTTTTGGATAACCAACGAATAAAGATGACACTAAATTGTGCTCATTCCGTTTTTGATTTATAATTATTGCATTTTAGTTGTACTTTTATGTTTTCCTTACTTCGTCTCATATCGCAGCTCGGACCAGTATGTTGAGAAGAGAATCGCCCAAGCAGCGACCAAATTTCAGTAAATTGAGTAAAATGTCTCCCAACAAAATACAAAATAATTTACATTTTGAGTTTAACATAGAGTTTTAATTCGATATTTTATTCATTGTTTTATAAGTAACTGTGATTAGAAAATTATATATCATATTATAATAACAGAAAAGAAAGTAAATAGTAGGTTTTTCAATTTGATGGAAAAATTAGAAAAATAGGTATGCCAGTTCTATTTGTTGAAATGAAATTAAGCACCTATTATTACCTACCTATTACAAAACATATTTAGGAGGGACTGAAAAATATGTAGTTGAAGAAAAGCTTATTTAAAATGAAGAATTTTGGCAGGTACAAAAAAATAAAGTTTATTTTTATATTTCTTTATAGGTATAGTTTAATTTTTAATATTTTTTCTTAAAATTAAACTACAAGATTACCATTAGTTGTATGGATTTCCTAATTAAATAAGGGTTCTTTCTTCAGGTAAAATGTAGCAAAGTTCTGAAGTACGATACGATATGTTTGCAGACAAGTGTTTTGAAATGAAATAAATCAAATCTATACGAATTTTGTCTCCACTAACAAGATGTTATATTCAACAGTCGAAAGTGTAAACTTGTGGGCAACAGCTTATTAAATGTATGTAGAAGTCCAAGAAAGTGCAATGGTACCAGCTTTTACTATAATAATAATGGTTTTTATCATTCTCCTGTTTTTTTTGTAGATAGGATTTATAATTGTTGCTTAAATTCCACATTGTGTATCAGAATGTCTTTGGTCTTCTTGAAAACATATTTTTTTACAATATAAAGCAGATGGTATATTTTTTTGAGACATCCTTCATGCCTCTCGAAAACTAAATGTTTATTTGCAGGTAAGATAATATGTATCTTAATTTTGTATGATCATTTATTGTATAGACAAATAATTAAATAAAAATTATTAAGGCATAAAAAAGGTAATTTGTAACTTTGTGTCAGCAGAAGGATTTCCTACACCCAATTTAATATATTTTTTACAAACAAATAAAATATCTTTAGTATGATCGGTAGATATTTTTAATAATTCAGCACTACATATGTTTCGAAATCTTCTGGTGCAGTCACAGCTTTTTAAAATTTAAAAAAACATTTAGAAACATAAACACTTTAAAATGATCATGAACGAAACCCATATTTTGTGATAGTGTGTAGGTAGCTTACAACTAGTTGATTAAATTAAAATACACCTTTTACACATTCGCAGAGTTTAATATGTGTAAGTGTAGTTATAATCTTTGCAGTCTATTTTATAAACTACATTTAGTTGAGTTGCTTTCTTGAGTTTGGGTTTAAAATTTAAAAATAAGGTTTCGTTTATGAGCAATTTTTACATTATATCTAGAGAATATTTTTGACACTTGTTTGGAAAGTCCTTTTACATAGAGCAATTTAATGTTTAAAAAAGGGTGCCACACCAAATGTTACAGTGATAACACTTTATGCTCTTGACTATTTAAGTACCAAGCTATTTATTTAAAATAATAAA